TCTAGGGCAAATTTCATGCTCGAAATGCTCAAGAGACTTAGTGGAAGGCCCTAAGTAATGGTCAGAAACTAAACCCTTATTCTCTCTGCCCCCAAATGGACAACTTCCGTGGTCTGGATTCTGAGACGCGAAGATGCTGGTCACCGGGAGTCTTGTTTGTCTTTTTCTTACGGCTGAGTCAAGAGAAGGATAAAGTCAACATTTAATATAGTAGACAAACATGGTCATGGTCAACCCTGAGTTTTCCACCGATACATTTTCTTCTGAATCCGTTAGATTTAGACGTCAGAAATGCGCCTATAATCTAGATGCACAAAATACGCATGTGCTAGCTGTGTAAAGATCATTTATTCACATGATGAACTAATTTTGGCATACATTTGGTGCCAACATTTCGAATGGAACTGATCGATCTGTCACAATGTTTAAACGTTTGTGTCAATTATAAGTGCTCAGTGTCAGGCGAAACAGGAACCAGAAAGATGGCACGACGGAATCCCATTCATCATTAAATACCTTTCTTAAATTGTTGTTGATGGTCCTATCTGCTTCCAAAACTTTTCGCAAGGACATGACAATTTATTGCCCATAATTTTTTTCCTGTAAATTTTAATTGATATTCATGATAAGTTGAATTTTCCAGGTTCACTTTTCAACATGTATTTCATTGAATTATTAGAGGTATTGGAAATTGCAACATGCGGGAACAGTTATTTATTAAAATTAAATACTTCAATCATTAATTCGTTTCATTCGACGAGATAACAATCAACACGTTGCAAACGATACAAAAAGCAGCATTTCGCAATCTCATCAGTCGACTGATATCTGATCATTTGAAGGATGCGTCAAAGATGTCAACTGCCACGTGTTCATTATAGAATTCTTAATTGACATTATTGAAGCGCCATGGAGTACATGAATACATCATTATTACTATTGGAGTAGAGGAGTTATGGCTGCTGTTAAACCCAAATAAGAGCAATCTGAGTAGAGTTCGGCTAGATGTGCTTTTGCCCTTGCCAATGAACATTGTTCAGAGACTTTCATCTTTTAAACAGCGATGACCCTAGTAAAAGCGGAGATTTTAATTTTGAAGGATGGCGCCGTTCAAGATATCCAGCTAGATATTGTCTTTACTTGGAGTGCGCAGAAGATATTGTCCTTACAAGTAGTAGGGGATGTGGGTTCGGTCACCTTACGGCTTCCGTATGCAACTCAGTTACGAAAATATCTTAACATCTTAACTTAACATCCGGAAATCCAAGATTATGAGGAACTTATCAGATATGGTTAATCTACTAATGTAAAAGAGAGGAGAAGTCATCGATGAAATCAGCTACCTTAAACATCTCGATTCCATCATCTTTAGCGATGGCACCGTCAAATCAGAATTAAAAACGAGGATTGCTCTCGCCTCCAGAGCGTTTGATAAACTGATAAAGAACTGGGCTGAGATCAGTCCGTTTTCTTCTTGCACTGGCTAAGTCTGAGTTATAGAAACAGTTCATCTATCGAATGACCAGCAAAAACGTTAGCTTGCGGACAATAGGGCCTGTTTCGACGAAAAATAAGGTTTGAACAACAGGATTACGTAATGACAGACTATATTCTCTTCCGGGCACAGATGTGCTCCGTAGGTTAAAAGATTCCGTTAAGGAGATTGGCCCTGCTAAACAAACTAATGAGGTATAAAACATACTCCAGCCCACAAGCATTTCGCAAGGGAACCGAAACAGGGGCAGACGTCAGTCAAAAGCAAGCAGCCTGGATGCGCAAGATAGAGGCAGTTCCGCTTTTGCAGAGGAATATTAGTAAAGTATTGCAAAGCTGCGAATACAGCGGACGTCGCTAGTTAGAAACGTTCTGTTCATGCAAACGGCACATTGTGATGATAACAGAAACACGCATCTTGCAAAGAACATGCTCATCATGTATAAAAACATACGGTAGTTCAGGCAGAAAATTTTTTGGTAAAGAGTCCTGAAACTGAAACTGCGAATAGGTCAATAGACGACAGTGAGTTCAGTTAAAATAGGTTCATTTTTAATGAAGATTTCAATACCCTAGACCAGTGTTACGTTATCAACATGACAAGAGCAGCGCATGAAATGAAATGCATTATTTTGCTTGAATAAGATTGCCGATGAATTTAAGCATGCATTTACTCGTGAGAAATGGGCAGAATGAGTTCGATTCCATTTTCGCTTGTCGATTACTGAAAGTGTGCTAAGTGAAGCTGCTAAACTTGATGCATTTTCAGAGGCATTGTAGTAATGACTGTAATAGATGTCAAATGTTGAATTTTAGCAGTAGCAATGTTTTTCAAGTCACAACTAAGTGAATGAGGTGCTTTTCGTTTTTTAGTTAACTACAAAAAGCAGCCTTTTGTGCTAATGTTTTACTCCTCGTTTTCCAGCGCATTTGTCAAGTGTATCGAGTTCAACCACCGTTGTACTCTGCACAGATAAAGACGGTGAACATTGCTAAATTCAAGAAAATTAAAGTGAAGTTCTTTCAATGACGGCAATGAAAGGGTTTGGCTTGTTTTGAGGAAGCATAGGCAAAATCGTTAGGTGGCCAATGTAGTTGTTTCCATCACACCTGAAACGCACTTATGAGGTTACTTCCTTTCCTTGCGTAAGAATGGAATCTAATCGCAGTAACCACATCCCATTGTGCCAAACTTCATCTTCATCTTCCATCGCCGCTTCTCCTTTCGGGTCGCGGAGGCAGACGCGTCAGACAGAGCTTC